AAAAAAAAAAAACACTACTGACATAGAAACTGTTTTTTTTTTTAGTAATAATTATACTTTCCTCTTTCTATTTATTTTCTTTTCTTTCAACATTTATCTTCTCTAATGGTTACATTTGTATATTTTACTATCATTTCTTTCTTGTTTCTACTGAAACGACAATTTTTCTGTTACTTTATCGGCTGAGACAATGCTAATCAGTTGACCTTAGAGTTCAGCTAAAAATTATCTTTTTTTTTTTTCACAAATTTTTCAACAGCTTTGTTGCTGTTGTCGTTGTCACTTTTTCTGCTTTTTCTTCATGCCATCTGCACTTGGACGTTGCTTTTCTTTATAATGTTAGCCGACTATAGTTTTCAAAAAATTCCAAAAATGATTGCTAAATAGTATTCAAATAGAAAATAGGAGGTGGGGAACAAAAAAAAAGAAAAAAAAAAAAAAAAAAAGAGAGAAAGATGATGGCAAAAGACGATTGTCAATATTTTAATTTTTACTTGCTAACACTTATCATGAAAAAGGAACAAAACTGAATGAATACACATCTGTTCTGTTCGTTTTCTTCGCGTTAACAATCGACAAAGGAATTTTTTTTTTGTTTATGAAAAGAAAAAAATAAATAAATAAATAAAAATTTAAATTTCTAACTTTTCTGTAGTTTTGTTTGCTATATTTTCACTTATGCACTCACATCTTTTTCATCAATTTGCATGATCTCTAATGTTTAATATCAATTTTACCTTCTTTCTTTCTTCACTGATAAATATGCGCTTTTTTTTACGACTTTTCTCAATCACACATACACGAAAAAAAAAAAAAAAAACGAATGGAAAGGTTGAAAATGGTGCTACAATGTTGTTGACTGTTAATCAAAAGAATAGCTAAGCGATTGACCTAAAAAACATTGTCTTAGGTTTGGTAACATTTCTGTAAGGAGTGTTAAATAGCTTAGATAAGCGTAAATTGTCGGTGGAGATAAAGGTAAAAAACATCAGTTATTGCGTCTTCTATTGAATAGTAAAACAATAAAACAGAAATTTTTTTGCATTTTAAATCTAAATTTATTAAAATAATAAAATAAAAGCATTTGTTTTACAACAATTTATTAGGTGCAACTACTTTTTAAAATATATATCATACTAAATGCTGTCGACAATTATCTTTCAGTTTTTTTCAACTTGTTTTTGAACACAATTTTAGTATTATCAATTAATTAATAAAGAAAATAAATTGTTGAACGATTGAGAGATCATATCCATTATCTGGACTTCTTGCCAGTTAATTCAATACTGTACAGAAGAGCTGTTGTTTGAAGGAAAAAAAGATACATTTGGTCTGCAACTGTTACCGGTTGTCAGCTTGAATCGATGAGCTTCCTATGAGATTCTAAAATCGTTAAATAAACATAAAAGAAAGTCTAACAATTACCTAAAACAAACTCATCTTTTTTTTTTTTTTTTGTCTACTCCTTTCTTTTCACCAGCCGACGCACTGGTGTTAAAGGTTTCAGCTTACGGTTCGCACTGAGACCTTATGCTAAAAATGTTCAACTGCTGCGAAAGTATCGACTAAAAAACTCCTCCGTACAGATGGCTCTATTTGGGTAAAAAAGTATTGTCAACTTCGACTAACTTTTAATGTCAAAAATCAATCAAAAAAAGTAATTTCTTCTTGTTGAAAATAGAACTAACTATAAAAATTGTTTTAACAAAACAGTTGCTGCTTACGATACCCTACTTTCGTTTTATTCATTTTCAGTCTGTAACCTAATTGTCGAAAAAAATCTCTACAGTAACCAACAGGAATTATTTAACACATTAAAAAAGAGTCTGGAAGAAAAAAATAAAGAAAAAA